TGTAAAAATCGGTATTGATCTTTCTATATCAATATATATTTTTAAAAGTGAAAGTTATTGCGTTTGTATTCATCCCCCCTTTACAAACTGATCACCTCTAAACTCTTGTAGATCCGGCTGGGACCAACAAGTGGTATCAGAGCAGGCCTTGCTTTTTGTATTGTTTTGTTATTTATCGGCATTTTATTATCTCTTCTTCTTTATATAATTCATTGTTTTTCAAATGGATTTACAGAACATCAGTACCAACTTTCACGACAATGCCAAACCTCCCCGATTCATTAGAGACAACTTCACTCTCTAGAAGAATCGGATGTCTCTCTTTTTGGAATGTGTGGATCCTGAAATTCCACACAAAATTAAAATGGACCCTATGTTCCATACACTATATCTCCAGTAGTTCCTGAAACTGCTACGACTATCGAGATTCTTGAACGGTGGATTCCAAAGCTCCCTCATCAATGGAGCGATGAAGATAAGAAGAAAATGTCTATAGACACTCGTACGAGGTCTATAATAGCCATGTCTCTTCCCGATGAGGTTTATCACTCTGTGATGAATTTAAGAACCTAAAAACCCATGGGGGACACACTTTATGTTCAACATGAAAGTACTTCTCAAGTACAAGAGTAGAAGAAAATAAATTTAGTAAGACAATATGAAATCTTTCACTGTGGAAAGAATGAATCGTTGTCTGAAGTATATCAGCGCTTTAACTGTCTCCTTATCAACTTGAGGACGGTTGGAAGAAAATATTCCAACTCCGAGACACTGACCAAGTTTCTGGAATGCTTGCCAGAATCATGGGATACTTATTCTATGTGTCTCAAGATGTCCAATGATATGTCCTCTCTCTCCTAGTTCTCTTTATGGGATAATCATGAGCAGTCCCGTTAGCTGATGAGGAATCTCATTAAAGATTCTAAAGAAATGAAAAGCTCTCCGTTAGCTTTGATATCTATGGATTCTTCATCTAATCTCCCATCTTCTTCTTCTTCTTCTAACCCTATGGTTTCCTCTTTTTATTTAAAATAGTTAGATCCTACTAACTCTGAGGACTTGTCAGATTATGATCTTGTAGAGTTTGATGAGTCACTAGCCCTTCTAACCAAATCTTTTAGAAGGTTCATCAAAAAAAGCAATTTCCGCAGATCTCCTTTGCTGACCATCTTGGATAAGCCAAAGTCAAATCCCATTGACAAGGCTTCAGCGATCTGCTACAACTGTCAGCGGAAATGTCACTTTGCCAGAGAATGTAGGTTGAAGAAAACTGCGACGCCATATTCCAAAACCCCATCCTTCTTTAAGCCCAAAGATGACAAATATCAAAAGCTGAAGGAGAAGTACAGAAAGATGAAGAGTTCTCAGCATAAAGACAAAGGTCTTGTCCTTTGTAACACCTTGGAATTCCTTTTTCTCCCTCATTCTCCATTTCTTTTCCATCGGGAATTCTTCTGTCCCGTTTGCAAGGTATTTGTCTCTATTCATATTTATATGTATATATATGTGTGTTTTATTTATATTAGGAGTTTAGTATTTTTATTTATTTTATATGATCCTTTTTAAAGTGGAGATCTTTTTTATTAATTGTCTAGTTGATATGTTAGGACTAGGTGTAAGAGTAGGAAGAAGGGGGGTGTTACCCCTTGTATTTTGACCCAATCCATTGAACATTCTCTCCTGAGAAGGATTTACCTTTTACCTTGGTGTCCCAGCCGACTGTCCTTGCTGGGAAAGAGGGAGTCCTTTTTACTTTGGGGGGGAGTTTTGAAGGTCTTTGGGGGATGAGAAAAGTGGCTGGGGAGGGCTGCTAATCGTGAGTGTAGAGAAGAAGGGTTGCCTCACATTCAGTTTTCTTATCATCCTCAGCTACCACGTCAACCACCCTTGCTCCAGCCTCGACCTGTTCCAGCCGTGCCTACACCTCTCTGCCGTGCGATCGGCATACAACCGATGTGTTCTGTGTTCTGTGTTCTGCACACAACTGCTGCTCTTCATCCGAACTTCACCCGGTTGCTGCGCTATGCTCTACTCGAGACCCTCTGCCCCAACCGTTCCCGCACTCGGGACTTACCAGACGGCAGGCGCTGCTGTGTCGACCCAACCAGCAAGCAAACAGCAAACAGCAGGTCACTGCTATGTTGCTTCTTTGTCTTTCTTGCCCGAACAGCAGTCGTAGCCGAGCCATTTCCCGCAGTAAGCACTGATGTGTCCCATCAAAACAGAACCCGTGTTTTGTTGCCTCACCCAAACAACAGCTGTCGTGAGCTGTTTCTTCATCATCTTTGCCAAACAGCTGTCAGCATTTGCGAAACAGCAGTCCTTACTGCTTTGCCCTTCGTTTTCGTTACCCGAAACAACGACAAACAGCAGCAATAGGAGCTGTCTGCGCTCCTCCGTTGCATCTCGGATCAACAAACAGTAGCAGCAGGAGCTGTCTGCGCTCCTCCGTTGCTTCTCGGATTAACAAACAGCAGCAGCATGTGCTGTCTGTGCTCCTCCGTTGCTTATCGGATCGACAAACAGTAGCAGCAGGTGCCGTGTCCGTGGCGTTCTGCATCGAGCCAACAKCAACAGCAAGTGTCGTGCCCGTGACTGCCCGCACCGAGCCAAACAGCAGAAGCAGTAGCTGCTGTATTGTGCTGTASCCTGCCGCATTAGAACTCTCCTCCATCTTCCATCTAACTTCAAGATTTTAGGACTTCTCTTAAGTCCTACGATGTGAGTTCACCCCTTTCTCTATATATGAAACCTCATATCAAATGAAGCGATGTATTATACTTATATTTAATATTAATGTCACAAGATCATTTTACTTTGTTAGAAATGGAAATTGCTTTTAGGTAAAAGAGTTAATTTAGGAAACCCGCCTACAATGAAAAAAAGGATGAGTTGAGAATTTGGATTTGAGCCCTTRGTAAAACACTCATTTCAAAGTATCGCTAACCATAAGGCACATACACTTTATGTCCTACTTTCGGTGTTATATTTTATATGGGAATACTTCATTTGATTTAGGACTCTTGTAAAATCTCATTGACGAATAAATGTTTATATGCATAAGGTGACGTATTTGAGCATGCCACTAGAATATAATAGGATTGTAGGCATGAATGTCATTTTGTATTACGCTTGAGAATGATGGTGTAAGTTGGGAATAGGCATTGCGATTATTATGTAATTACAAAATCATCATTCTCGTTTCCACTCGGAAATAGGTATTGTGATTATTATGCAATTTCCGAGATAAAAGAGCTTAAGATCACGGCCGACTACATGACTGGTTTAGGTTGATGTCGATGGTATTAAACCTGTAAGTGATACTCTATAACGTTGATTTATGAATTACTTTGTGTCCGTCATAATCAACGGTAAAATCGGGTCTCCCCCGTCATTCTCGGATGTTTTGACTCCTCCGTGAGTTATTTTGAATTAACTTTTTCTTTATAGTGTTTGAATTTACGTCATCTATGTATAATTATATACAAACTTCATAACTACCTTTACTTTATTAATTGAACTCACTAGGCGTAAGCCTAACACTTCTTCTTGATATGGCTTGTATATCAGGTTCCTTTAGCGGCGGGGCTCAAAAGGGTTGAGAGGAGCGTTGGTTCGTGAAAGGCTCTTTTGTAGTTATAGCCTTTTTACTTTGGAGCGTTGCGTTTTGATGTTACGACATTTTTTGGAGTTGATAGAAACACCCGTCTTTAATCTAGATATGGAGTAATCTAGATTAGTAGGTTGTTAGTTATCTTCTCAGTAACTGAATTGTAAACGCTATGCTATTACCTTTTGTTGGGTGAATTTTTTTATTTAAAATTCTGATTCTCGTTAAATACTTTCGGTTTAAATTATCTTTTCCTTGTTTTTTTTTGGAGTGTAACAAGTTGGTATCAGAGCACTAATTTAAGTGAACTAGGTATGGATTTATGACGCCTTGACTTAAGCTGAATTGTACGTGTTAACTGAGAGATGTGGGTAGAAACTTCTAATATAGGAGAGCATTAGGGTCATCAGAGCTATCCGTTCATGAATTGTGACGATGGTGTTAAGAATTCTTAAGTATAACCTATTCAAAATTTCACTTAGCTAATGCTATTTTGAGTAAGCTACTACACAAGCGTACTTGAACTTACTGTTATTACAAGAATTTATGAACGTATCGGTATTTATTATGTTAATCCTGTGTTCGTCCTATCATAACTCTCTTTCACTCTCTTGTATGACAGTCTTAAATGGTGAATACTTGGAGTAGACGGGATACCTCTCTGGAAGGTCATGCAGTAACTGAATCTACGGCGGATCAACCGCCATGAACCACCATTGCAAGGGTTCCTCCTAGGCAAAACACCTTGGGCGGTGAAGATGACCACGTCCCCCAAGTCGACCTTGCCACCTCTAACCTCGTAATGGAAGAAGAAACCCCAGAATCAAGAATGATGGGTACTATGATGAACGCCATGAACAGAGCCATGGCCCAACAACAAGAGTTCTTTATGAAGCTTTTGGAGGACAGAGACGGTAATACTCGTAAGCATGAAGCAGTTGCCGAGAATGTAACTATGGGGGGGTCCGGAGGTACGGGGAATGCAATCCCAACCCAGGAGCTAGCAACGATTGAGGCGAGACAAATGGGTAGAACTTGCTCTTACAAGACCTTCCTATGTTGCAAGCCACCGGAATTTGTGGGGTCGGACGATACCGTGGCATGCATGAATTGGCTCCGGGAAATTGAGCAAGCCTTCCGGGCTTGTGACTGTGACGAGGGACAAAAAGTGAAGTTTGACTCTCAAATGCTGAGGGGTGCAGCTCTTACCTGGTGGAACATTGTCATCTCGACCATCGAGTTTACTGAATTGACCAAGATGAGTTGGACCACATTCAAGGAGAAAGTAATGGAAGAATATTGCAATGAACAAGAGATGGATCATATCGAAGAAGAATTCTGAACCCTGAAGAAGGGAAATTTATCAATAAGGGACTACACCCGACTCTTTATGGAAAAGCTAAACTTGGTGGGACACGTAGCCCTAACGGAGAAAGATAAGATGAAAGCCTACCTTAAAGGGCTACCTGCAGACATGATGGTAATGGTTAGGAACTTAAGAGCTTCCACCCTCAGGGAAGCAATCGAAGAAGCCAAGGTCTTGGAATCAGCTTATGTTAAGGGGAAGGAAGAAAGGGTGCCGGGTGGTGAGAAGAGGAAGTGGGAAGGGCCCTACACACCATCCAAAAAGCCAAACCACTTTGGCAACAACAATCGCGGAGCCCATCCCAAACAAGAGACAAGATGGTGTCCCAAGTGTCGCAGCAAACATCACGGCCCGTGTAGCACCAACTCTACCCCCACCAAATGCTTTAAGTGTGGGAAGGCAGGCCACACGCGAAACGAGTGTCCAATCAAGGGACCCATATGTTTTGGATGCGGGGAACCGGGCCATTTCAAGAATGATTGCCAAAAGTTGAAAACAGGTGGGAGTCAAGGAAGAAAAGAGGGCGCCCCGAAAGCAACCAGCCGAGCCTTTCAGATGACGAAAGAAGAAGCTAAGACGTTGACGGATGTAGTGTCGGGTACGTTCCTTGTTAACTCTGTACCTGCTCACGTACTTTATGATCCGGGTGCTTCATGTTCCTTTGTGTCCACTGCATTCTATCAACACTTGCATACGCCACCTAGTACACTAGAAGATGCGTTAATGATAGAGATAGCTAATGGTAGTCAAGTTTTGGTGCGCGAAATTGTTAGATGTTGTGTTTTGGGGATTGAAGAAAAGGAATTTCGGGTGGACCTCATACCCATGGCTATAAGCGGTCTCGATATCATAATCGGGATGGATTGGCTAGTTAAGAACCAAGCAGAAATCTTATGCTCTAAAAAGCTGATCCGAATTCCTTTGTCAAGCAGGGACGCAGTGCTAGTTTATGGAGAATGGAGGAAAGGGAATGCAGTACTCTTATCTATGGCGAAGGCACGTAAGTGCCAAGCTAAGGGATGCGCCTCATTCATTGCGTATGTGTTGGACACCAAGCTAGAGTTAAGAAAAATTGAAGACGTGAAGGTGGTTAGAGAATTTCCCAGATGTATTTCCGGAAGACTTGTCCGGTTTACCACCCGTTAGACAAGTGGAATTCCAAATTGACCTTATTTCGAGAACCGCTCCAATTGCTAAATCACCTTACCGTCTGGCCCCTTCCGAAATGCAAGAATTGATGTCTCAGTTGCAAGACCTTCTTGAGAAAGGATTCGTTAGACCGAGTTCGTCAGCGTGGGGAGCTCCGGTCTTATTTGTAAAGAAGAAGGACGGCACCATGAGGATGTGTATTGACTACCGAGGACTCAACAAGGCAACTGTAAAGAATAAATACCCCCTCCCCAGGATCGACGACCTTTTCGACCAACTACAGGGAGCAAGTTGCTTCTCGAAAGTCAATCTTCGCTTGGGGTACCACCAAGTACGTGTGAAAGAAGATGGCGTGGAAAAGACAGCTTTTAGGACACGTTATGGGAACTATGAATTCTTGGTCATGCCCTTCGGTTTGACGAATGCACCAGCAGTATTTATGGACTTGATGAATCGGGTCTGCCGACCATTCCTCGACAAGTCTGTAATTGTATTCATTGACGATATACTTATTTATTCTAAGGACGAATCGGATCATGAGCAACACCTTCGGGAGGTCCTCGAAATGCTAAGAAAGGAGAAGTTGTATGAAAAATTCTCCAAGTGCGACTTTTGGTTGAAGGAGGTCCAATTCTTGGGTCATGTTGTCACCCGAGATGGGGTGAAGGTAGACCCATCCAAGATCGAGGCAATGATGAACTGGGAACTACCAAAGAGTCCTTCAGAAATCCGTAGCTTCTTGGGTCTAGCAGGATATTATAGGAGATTCATCCAAGATTTCTCCAAGGTTGCTTCCTCCTTAACGGCTTTAACTAGGAAGAATGTGAAGTTTATCTGGACGGAAAAGCAAGAGCATGCCTTCAGAACTCTCCAAAAGAAGTTGTGCAAAGCCCCGATTCTCTCCCTACCGAAGGGATCCGAAGACTTTGTAGTCTTTAGCGATGCTTTGAAAATGGGGTTGGGTTGTGTTAGAACCCATAATGCAAAATGTAAAAAGTAATGAAAAACAATAAGTGATGAAGAACCAGAAGACCAATGGAGATATCAAGGCAGAATCGACTAAGTCTGGATCGATGGACAGACTATCCAGAGCATCGATGGAAAGACCAACCATTAGACCGATGGACGAAGTTCAACCAGCGGACCGATGGATGATGCGATGGAAAGTATTCCCATTGATACGATGAACAGACTAACACTTAGAAGATTTTCTAAGTATTCATCCAAGCATGCAATGAAGACTTGAAGATAAGGATGAAATCACCACATAGATAATGACAGCTGCAGATGACGAATCAATAGCTGGAATTATAGTTTATCTTGTTAATAATGATTATCCATGTAAAAG